ACTCACATAATAGGCACAAATGTAATTGGTGGGGTAAAAAGTTTACTGGGGAGCACAAAGTCCACGTTGTAGCAATTTTACTGTCATTTTACCATACAAGAAACAATCCTAACTATTCAGGTTATTTGGCTTTAGCATGTGAACAAATTAAACAAAAACTACATTTAAAAAACTGCAGCACTCATTATATCAAGTGCTAATCTTATACTGTAAATAAGTCTTTCAATTAGTGCTGTCAAATGATTAATCACGATAATTTACATAATATATGTATGTGTACTGTGTATATTTATTATGTATATATAAATACACACACATACAGTATATATTTTGAAAATATTTACATGTATATATATTTATATTCTTATATTTTATACTATATATAAATACATTTAATATATAAACATAACATATTTTTCTTAAATATATAAATGCATGTGTTTGTATTTATATATACATAATAAATATACACAGTATACACACATATCATGTAAACAAAAACGTTTATTTTGGATTAAAAAATAAATAAATATAACCATGACTATGTCTAATAACCATACGCTCACATACAACAAACCATTCATTGCTGTAAAATACGTTTTGTAATGATTATTGTATTACCTAACTGAATTACTTGCCACCACCTCTCCCTTTCATTGCTTGATATTAATTATTTTACTTTAAATGCCAGAGCTGGATGTGATTCTGTATGTACATAAGTGGTTAACACTGATAGAGGAATGAGATGTTAAATATGCCCAATAATGATATTTCCATAAGTCAGCATCTCTGGCATAAAGCACTGCTCATTAACAGCACAGAAAACACAACTTAAGAAGTCTCCAAGGAGTTTCGCTAAAATGGCTTAACCTCAGACTTACACAAATAATAAAAAACTTGGCTCTGCACTGACTACATTTGAAAGAATAGTATTGATTGGGCATATCTGGACTGTTACATCAGAGCCTGTGCTGCGCTGCACCAGGCACACAAAATCAAAAGTGAGAGGGGGGTGGGGATAGAGAGAAAGAGGGAGATGGACAAGGGTGTGAAGGGAGTTCACATCACTAATGCCCAAACTGCAACCCCACACACACCCATACAGCCAGCACACAAATTCCTAAGTATGAATCCTTCTCACACTCCCATGTGCTTCTGAGAGCAGGTTTGCAATGAGAGCAGGAGATGCAGGGTGTGTATGTCACAGGTGTCTCCAGCTCTTGCTCTGGTTGAACTTCACTCTCTTTACCACAGTGATAATGGCCTGCGCTGCACTTTGACTTACCCTCTCACCTCACAGCAATAAAATTATTACCGTCAAAACTGGCATAATATAACATGACCTTACCAACAAAACAAGAGAGATTATATTTTATAATAATTTTATGGAATGATTCAACATTTCTTTGTCATTTTCAGAGAGATTAATATAAGATGACTACATAATAGCTAGTGCTGAAACCTCATTACATCTGAATAAGCCCAAAAGTATTAAAGTGTCTAAAAATGAATGTGAAAGCCCAGACTTTGACATGTTGGCATACTTCGCCTTCTTAGCTATACTTGTTATCAACCCTGCAATTTTAGTGGTGTACAAAGTTTCTGTTTTAAATGGGGTGTAGCCCTGAACACTTGCATTTAGTGTCCATAAATTTCGTACACATGATCCGGCTTGTAAATATTGTAATTGAGCTTAAGTAAAAGTTGATCACAATAATGAACAAGATCAAGATCACAATAATTAACATATGGCGTGTTTGTGATTTTTTTTTGTTTGTTTGTTTTTTTTTTTAGTCCAGAACATAAAGACATTATGAATAATTTAGATACTAGGCTGTGAACTATAGACTGTACCACAGAATTAAAAGGAGAGATAGAGGCGGATCTCTAACGCGCACCGAAAATCATGTAAAGTACAGTCGTAAATAATAACAACCTGTTCAAGGCAAAACTTCTTAACCGGTTTAATAAGATTATTAAAGCTCTATGGACTCTCATTTCTCACTATATCAAGATGGAGAAAACTTTCATGATCGATGCCCTTCTGTATTAGATAACAGGCAGCAGGTCTGGACTTTCACATTCTTTATATGGACACAAATAAAGTCAGTTTATTTGATTAGAATAAAACGGAGAATCGATATACTTATTGCAAATAGCACATCATTATACTGCGTACCTAAAGAATAATCCGTATAGCCAAAACTTGCTATTTGTTAGCAAATGCATGTGCAGACAAGCCTCCTGATCTACCGTACTTAAGAGCCGTAACATCTTAAGATTACTACTGCTACATTCGGTTTAAATGCGTGAGTATGAGCCTGCTACCAATGCCATGGTTGCATCACGATGCGTTTCTTGATCAGTGATTTGTTTGCGCGCAGTCACAACAAATCAAACGTGTCACCTAATCGAAGTTTGCATTTCCCGTTTAGGCAGCTTTATGATTCTTGAACGAAGTGTAAAAAAGTCTCACAAACCTTAGTGTACTTGATTTCAGGGTTGGGTACCGGTGAGGGCACCAGATGAAGAGATGCCATGAGCGCAGCCGGGTCGTTTTTCACCTCTCCTGGCAGTTCAACTTTACTGGAGGTCATTGCGTCTCTTGAAGATGCCGGTTGGGTTTTTTTCTGCCGATTTGCTTTTACTACTTTGGAATCCTTCCTGTGTTTATAACCAGGTGTCAGCCCTGGTCCATTTTTATTGGGCAGAGAATTGGGCCGTCCTCCTAATATAATTAAAATGGAGCATTTACATAAACTAGGCTACTCTCTCTCCCTTTCTGACCATACTGAGTGAGAGAGATACCACCCACTCTCAAGACAACGGTATGTAGGAGTATCAGGAGTTATCAGGAAGAAATTCAACTGACAGGCAGTAGTAAACTGCACTGTAAAAATGTTTTGTCAGGTAACCTGAAAATGTGTTTCATGTGAATCTAAATGATCAGTTTCAAGTCAAAATAGTATAGGCTATACTATTTTATTATTTAACTCAGTAACACAACTGAATGTTAACACATACCCGTTTTAAGGTAAAGATCTAGTTTAAAAAATAATTTGATAACATATTTATTTAATTAATTAATTAAAAATAATAAATGTTCCATGCTCTAGCCTGAAACGCCCGTCTGGTGGTCTAAAATTGTACAGCAGACCATTAAATCTATTTTTCTTTTCAAACTAGGCTATAAATATCGTGTACTTTGCATACAGTCTGTTTGCTATCTGAAATGATCAATAAAAGTAGGCTACTATATTAAAAAATAATGGTTAGCTAGGCTTTCTCTCCATTGGGGTGCCCAAACTGTCACGTAAACGTTAAAGTTTTCTTTGGCAAAGCCGTTTGCCCCTTTGACTCTCACAGATTCTCCTGTAACATATCTATCCCGTCTATTCGTCTATCTACATCAAGCGATCACAGGTTATTTCCTCGTCGTGCCTCCTGCAGCGCCGGGACTCAGTTAGCATTTACCTCAGAATATCCAATAAACATTAAAGACCATCTAAAAGGGCTTTTAACACTCTCAAAAAGGTTGTGTTTTAAAGGATTAGCCAACACAGACATTCACACTTCCACTGTGTGACTGGTGGATAAGGAAGCTCTTCCAAAACCGGATCGCGGCAAAAACATCTACGATTATGTCGCAGATAAATAAAAAAAATAATCGCCTTCACACTTCCACGGAGGGCTAACCAGAGAAATTTTGTAGGAGATTAGCCTAATCTTGGGAGTTGGAAGCGTTTATAGGCTACCAACTTGTCTGTAGTTGGAAAAAGCACACTTTAGCCTAAATAAAATCCTAATTGTTTGTAACATAATAATGTCCTGTCATAAAATGTTGTTCACACTGTCCTGCTATTAAATAAATAATGCCTGAATATTAAACAATTCATTTGGAAAATAGTAACATGGAAAAATCGAACTGATTTTAGTGAATTGTGTCTGTATGGTCTTTTCTGTATGATGACATGTTCTGTATGATGACCTACAAATGCAAGGCTTGCGATCCAAAAAGTTTTGTGTCATGCACACTTAAATTGGCTACATAACTTAAACATTTTTAATGAGCAGGCTGCGTGATAGCAGTTATCATGTGTGACATGCTAGGGCTGAGGGGTTGTTAAAATGATGAAGGGGATGGGGTGTTATAATTTGTTAGAACCCACTGGGGTGCTTTTTCTCCATCAGCACATCCCCCTCATTTCACAGCACTGACAGTGTCTGCCTCACATCAAAGACGACACCCCAGAACAAGTGACAGTGATTAATGCAAACAAAACATAGGCCTACCGCTACCATCCTATCGCTTCTTCTTTTCACAGTCTGTACCGACAGTCACGGGACGCTGTCAAACTCTGGCCACCCTTGGTTTTTACTTTGTCAAATAGTTCCACCCGGTGGACAAATATACGTATTACAACTGTTAGTTGTGCTATAGTGTGCCCGCTTCTCCGAATGAGAACTGGAAATAATACTCAGAAATAAGAAATCCCACTGAGTAACAAACAAGTAAGCTAAACATATAAAATATGATGTATTTCTGTTTAGAGAATAAATAAACCAAGACTTGCTTGTGCATTGTGCGTGAGTTTTAAACTAAAAAATAGTCTACTGAGGGATGAGAGTAGATGAGAGTTGTGTAACAATTACACATGCAAAAAGAATGTAGGCTAATTAATTTTATATATTCTGAAAAGTAGCCTACTAAAATGAATAGCATATCTTCTTCTGTTAATAATTGTAGTACGTAAATAAGTTACGCTTCTTTAACAATAAAGCTTATGTGAATTGAACTGTCTAATATTTCTAACGTCGTTTCTGTAGTGTTTAATGTTCGCAAACGTAACGATATCATCCACTAGTTGATGGGACTCTCGTCTTTGTCTCAGCATGAAGAGGATGGATGGAGTGAGAGCAAAGAGGAAGCAGCAACCTGTCATGTCAGTGTGTTTAATGACATCTGAGCAGCAGGAGGGGCGGGGGAGGTTAAAGCCTAAGACACTTAAACTCCAGCGAGATCAGCCTTCAACTGTCTGTCCGGACATCACATCTCAGCTGTCGGGGAAAGTATGGAGCTCGAAAACTTCAGAAATTTGAGGGAGAGGTGCAGCGTGAGGCGGGACATCATCAGAGAGTTTCTGGCTGAATTACTAGGGACATTCGTACTAATAGTAAGTCTTTCGCCTGTCAGGACTTCAGAACCAAGTAAACTGAGATTAACAGTTTTGAGATTTCAATGCAATAGAATTATAATGAATGTCAATTTTTCAACTTATTTCATTCTTGTCATATGGGTGGTGTTAAGGTTGATATTCTTTAATTTTAAAGAAGCACTTAATATTTTATAGACGTGTGCCCACATATTATTGTGGTAGTAATAGCTATATGTGTGACCACATAATGATTTAGACTAAATGCACTGCATTACACGCAACACCCTCTAGTGATGTAAAGTGTCTTATTTATGCTTCTTATCGATCCGTTCTAATGGCTACTTAATTGCATACGGCTATGATTTATGCTTTGAAGGGCTTCATCTCAGTAACTACAAGGTTTTAGTCTAATTTGACAAATGCTCAATTTCTCTGGCAGTGGTTTATGTTAGTTTTAAGTGCCTGTTTTGTTGTTGTTGTTTTTGTAATTGTCCTCCAAAATACAATTCCAATAAATTCCAATCACAACATGTTTTGCTATAGCTCTTGTGTAAACAAGTGAACACGCTGACACACATTCAGGCTGGGTTGACTGTAAAAAAAGGCATTTTTCATGAACGTCAGATGCTTTCACGTGATTTATAAATGTTACACAATTATTTTTTAATAGACTAATCTTAAGGTTTGTACGGTACTTTGTATTGTACATTTTTACCGTTTAGTTAACTATTTTGTTTTTTATAAATGTTTTAATGTCCGGTTTGACAACTTAGAGTGAAGAGAACTACATTTTACTACAAACATTAGTACATGAAGTTGTGAGTAATATTGCAAATCTTCTTTGACTTAAATTATTTCAATTAATATTAAAACGAAATACACTTAGACGTTTCTACAGTGTATTCTACTGGTGTTAATTCCGTGAAAAGGTTCTGATTCAGCATGACAGATTTTGTTGCTTTGGGGTGCCACCCTGACCATAATGGCCTGAGCATTTGAAAAAACTGTCCTACTAATTAGTTTTGAATAAGTGCTCCACAACAAGAGTGCTTTTCTTATCTATTTGGCGGTAGCTTTTTTTCAACTAATTGTCTTCCTAAATTGTCTTCTCTATGCCCATTTCCTGTTTGCAGCTCTTCGGTTGTGGTTCAGTGGCCCAGACTATTCTCAGCAGAGAAAAACATGGAGAAAATCTTACCATCCACTTTGGCTTTACTCTAGGGGTGATGCTGGCTGTGTACATGGCAGGAGGCGTGTCAGGTAACTGGTCTCACTGGCGAATAGAAAAGTCTAAAATACACTTGTGTTTATGTAACATGCACATTTGCTACATTTAAAGGGGTCATATGATGCTATTTTAAAGATTTTTGCTTTCGCACTGAAATACACAGTGTCTCTCTGACATGGCTGCATCAACACGACTGCTGTTCCTGAAACCACGCCTTCTTTCTTTGCGTGCACATTTGGGCGGCATTATGCTAATATTTCCACATAGTGATGTAGATATGTGGGGGCGTGTTAGAATGAGCCATTTTAGGTAGCCGTGGCTGACTCTTAACTTTTATAAAGAATATCTCTTTGGATTTGAGACTTTAGTCTTTGCAACTTTACAGATCTTCTTTATGCACTAAGAGCTTGTAACACTCCAAAGAGAAAGGAAAACTTGAAATCGCATCATATGACCCCTTTAAATAAATTTACCCGACTGTCAGTTACCTATAGACTGCTATAAAAATAACACACAGATCTAAAAATAACTTTTAAATGATTCCAAAATGCATGAAAATGCATTTAATAAAAAAAAGGCATTAGTCTGGGACAGCTGAGTTCTTCTCATTTCAAAGGTCATATTTAGCTGTCCATCAGGGCTGTTTTTCACGGTTGTTTGTGATCTTTGATCATGTTTAACAAAACATGCAATGTTCAATCTACATGCGACACAAACCACCTACTCGCCATATGCAACACTACAATATCCATGATCTAATCAAAACTACATAAACAGCCCAATTTATTCCTCTGTTGCGGAATAATGATCATGATTGCAGAATAACTGTATGTGTGTTTATTCTATCAAAAGCTAAATCTGGTCAAAGGAGTAAAAAGGCTAGTGAGGTAAAAACGTTTTTAAAAAAGTCTTTCATGCGGTAATAAGCCTTAGACAGCTGGATCAAATATACCCCATACAGAGTATTACATCTTGACCTTTGACCCTAAAGAGAGAGAGCGTGAAGGGTGGATTTGCTTCAGTGCAAATTTTAGGATTAATGAACGACATAATAGAGGGGTAAAACCTTGTGCTTATTGTATTTGATGCGCTCGGTTTCTCTGACATTCAAAAATATACTGTAGTGATGGACAGGGGGAGGAGGAAATGATAGGTCAATTACATGCTCTTAAATCTTAGATAAGGCTTAGTGTCAAGTGGAGGCGTGTGTCGGGTTTGATAAACCAGACTGGACATGTATGTTTGGCCTTCATTAAGAGAATTCCTCAAGGATTATGGTGAGGTGAAGCTTTTATTATAATGTGTTATAATAATGCAGATGATTCCTGGAATTTCTTTAAAAGCTTATCATTGAAGTTGCCCTGCAATAACACAGTGGGACACGAAACAGATATAAAACGGACAGTGCGGAGAAGCCTAATGGTTGTACAAATGAACTCCGGTATGTTTGAAAGCAACATACAATTAATTAAATATTGTTCTGCCGTTAAGTGCGTATGTTACCATCTACATTATGCTCTGACAGACAGCGGCATGTGCCACTACTGGAAGTGTCACAACATACCATGTCATGTTCTGTAATTTTCTGTGGAATATTCCACAATCCAGTGAATCCACATTTTCAAAAATGAACATTCTGTCATCAATTACTCACCCTCATGCCGTTCCAAACCCGTAAGACCTTTATTCATCTTCAGAACACAAATTAAGAGATTTTGAATGAAATCCGAGAGCTTTCTGACCCTGCATAGACAGCCACGCAACTGACACATTCAAGGCCCAGAAAGGTAGTAAGGACATCGTTAAAATAGTTTATGTGACATCAGTGGTCCACCATAATGTTATGATGCTACATTTACATTTAGTCATTTTGCAGACGCTTTTATCCAAAGCGACTTACAATTTGGGGATACATAAGGCGATTCTTCTTAAAGAGGCAAACAGATACAGGAAGTGCTTGTAATAACAAGTTTCTAGACATTGTTCAAATAAGTACAAGCTAGAAAGAGAAGGAATAAATAAAGAGATTTAAAAAAAAAAATAATAATTTATGATGAAGTCAAGTAGCTTCGAAAGAGATGAGTTTTCAGCTGTCGCTTGAAAATTGTCAGGGATTCAGCATTCCGGATAGGGGTGGGAAGATCGTTCCACCAGCCAGGAATGGTGAACGAGAATGTTCTGGAAAGTGATTTTGAGCCTCTCTGTGATGGTACCACGAGGCGTCGCTCACTAGCAGATCTCAGACTTCTGGAGGGGATGTAGAGTCGTAGTAGTGAGTGGAAGTAGGCGGGTGCTGAGCCTGTGGCTGTTCTATATGCAAGCATCAATGTCTTGAACTTGATTCGAGCCGCGACTGGTAGCCAGTGCCAGGAGATAAAGAGAGGTGTAACATGGGCTCTTTTGGGCTCGTTGAAGACCAGTCGTACCGCTGCATTCTGAATCATTTGTAGAGGTTTGATTGTGCTTGATGGAAGTCCAGCCAGAAGAGCATTGCAGTAGTCCAGCCTAGAAATGACAAGGGCCTGGACAAGAAGTTGTGCAGCATGCTCCGTTAGAAAGGGCCTGATCTTTCTGATGTTGTGCAATGCAAACCTGCAAGATCGAGCGGTCTGCTAATTTCTTGTGCGCAAATAAAACAAAAATAATGACCTTATTCAAGAATTTCTTCTCTTCTGTCTTTGACAAACGTTCATGAGAGTACCACAATGCATGCGTGAAGACTGACATGGAAGAGAATAATTTATTTTAATCATTTTTGTTTTCTTTGCGCACAAAAAGTATTCTCCTAGCTTCATAACATTAAGGTTGAACCACTGATTTCATTTTTGGGTGAACTATCTCTTAATACCACCTCTCCATATCTCCTGAATCTGATGGGCTGTTTACACCACACCATTTTCAACTAAAAACAGAAAACATTTGATGCCTTTTGGCCATTTATGTATGCGAAAACAGCTGTGTAAACTTATGATAATGCAAATTTGTGTAAAAGGTGATGTTATGTATGTACATATTTTGTGTCAATCTATAGAATGCGTATGTGCTTAGGCACATAGTGTTTCTTTATAAAGCGACATCGCCAGCTACTGGCCTGGCATGCATAATACAGTGGTTTTAGTCATTTTCGCAGAACTGTGTGTACAGGGTTCATTTTGGCAATGTTGTCGTCTGTGTGTGACACTTTTCAAAAACGCAAAGCAAAAATTGTTGCCATGTAAACATTCCCTGAGTGCCTACAGAAAGGACCTCTAGATGTCTACAGGATGCCTTCTCCTGGCCCAGCCGACTTCATAAGTTCTCATTAGGGTCACAGTAGTCAGCATCGTAATTGTGAGGACATACTTCAGTTCACACAGGAACTGTGCTTTCACAAATCAGCAGAGGGTGAAGCTGTTAGCGCACAATTTACCAGCACTGTGGAAGTGTGTGGTCATCCTAAAAAAACAATAATAACATAAAATAATAATAATGAATGATGATAATAAAAATACATTCATTTGTGTTATTTATTTATTTGCGCTTTTATTTGTGTTAGCATATTAACATCACATTTAATATTTTATTTAAACGGTTAGTTCACCCAAAAATGAAAATTCTGTCATTAATTGTTCCCAGGTCCAGAATAGTAGTAAGTAGTACTGAACGTAAACAACGCTGATTACGTTCAGCAAAAGCGCACACATGCTGAACGTAAACAACACTCATTACGTTGATTACGTTCTGGAGTACTCTCCAAATGGAAGACGGTAACTCAGGGAGAAGAATTAATGAATAAATTATGTATTGTTGTTTTCTTTGCGCACAAAAGGTATTCTCGTAGCTCCGTAAAATTACGGTTGAACCCTAGATGTCACATGGACTATTTTACCGATGTCCTTGCTATGTTTCTGGACCTGGTAACATTTCAGTCATATTGCTGTCTACGGAGGGTCAGAGAGCTCTCAGATTTGATCAAAAATATCTTAATTTGTGTTCCAAAGATGAACGAAGGTCTTACGGGTTTGGAACGACATGAGGGTGAGTAATCAATGACAGAATTTTCATTTTTGGGTGAACTATCCCTTTAATAATACTAATAATTATTCATTGCACGTTTTCGCATGTTTGCATTTTATTATTATTTTTTTTTTAATGATTGTTTTTATAACAATTGCACATTTGGAAGATGACATCAAGAAGAAGTTTAAAAAAATCAATCATGAATAAAAGGGCAATGATTGTAGTGTTGCAGGGTCGGGTTGTTCAGGGGAAATGTGTCGAGGGGCATGAGGCCCTGTGGTTTATCATTCAGTAGTGGCTTCTAGACTTCAAGCACACAATTGTGCATGTGTTATTGTGGTGATGCATGCAACTGAATTATCAGAAGTCATGAGTCTTGAGCTGCAGATCTGCTCCTCATGCTGCCAGCAGTTCACTCCGCTCATTATGTCACAAGGGGAGACAGAGCCATATATAAATATATATGTATGTGATGTTAAATATAGCCAGAGCTCTGCAGTAAAAGTCATCAAAAGTGTGCATCTGTGCATGAATAAGTTGGTTAGCCCAGCAGCCCACATGACTTTGATAATCTTACATGCTGTGATGATGACTACAGTATTGAACTAATGAGCTTTTCTGGAGCATATGTGAGATGGTCCTCAATGCAGAACACAAGATCCAGGGGGTGTGGTTGGATCCAGATCCAAC